GAACCCAATCAGAAATTGGGGGATGATGAAGGAGGAGAAGCTGTTGATAGGGAGAGTTATCAGCGATTAGTGGGGTAAGCTCGTTTACCTATCTCACTCCCGTCTTGATATTGCTATTGCTATTGCTGTTGCTGCCAGTGTGGTTAGTCAGTTTATGCATGCTCCTAATCAGATTCACTTTGAGGTTGTCATGAGAATCTTGAGGTACTTGAAGTCTGCTCCTGGTAAGGGTCTTTATTTTTCAAAATATGATCATCTTCGTATGGAAGCCTATACAGATGCTGACTGGGCTGGGTCAGTAACTAATAGGAGATCGACATCAGGGTATTGCACCTTTGTTGGAGGCAACCTAGTTGCTTGGAGGAGTAAGAAACAAAATGTGGTTGCTAGGTCAAGTGCAGAAGTTGAGTTTAGAGCTATGGCAGAAGGTGTGTGTGAACTTTTATGGATCAAGTTATTGTGGAGTGATCTAGGTATTGATCAGACAGACTCCATGCGGTTATACTGTGATAATAAGGCCGCCATCAATATCGCTCACAATTCAGTTCAACATGATAGGACAAAACATGTTGAGATTGATCGCCACTTCATTAAGGAGAAACTCACTAGTGGTACCGTTTGTACTCCTTTTGTCCAGTCGGGTGAACAACTTGCTGACATTCTCACCAAGGGGGTTGGGAAAAACCATTTCATGACATATTAGGTAAGCTGGGTATGAGAGATATCTTCGTACTAGCTTGAGGGGGAGTGTCAGCATAGCATATTATATTATTATCTGAGTTATTGGTTTGTAATTGTTCTATGCCCTTAGGGCTCATCTTGTAATTGTCTCATCTTGTAAACCATAATTTTCATTTATAAATAGGAGATGATATCATATCAAACCCTAAGCTGATTACTAAAGCTTCACCATTATGTGATAAGTCTAGGCAAAATGCTTCACTTGCCTCTCCGATTGGAGTTGCTTAGTAGAATAGATAATAAAGGTAGTTATATGTTTTACTTTTAAAATAATCCTTGTGCAAATAAATTATTTCTTTTAAAACCCTGTGCAAGTAAAATATTATATTTAGGATGAATTGATGTGTGTATTAAATAAAAAGATGAGAAAGTAATAAATAAAAAAGAAGAAGAAATAAATAAAGTTGTATAAGAACGCTTCTTGACCAACATGAAAAACTAATAGGAAAAAACACTATAAATATTTAGAAATTGAATTGTAAGAGATATTGGAAAAAACACTTAAAGATTATTGGGAAAAAAAAGGTGTTTTTTGGTGGTGCTTTGGGCTCAATCATTTGTGCAAAATTGATGCGAGCTATACGACGAATAGTCCAGCTGTTGTATCCTAGAGGGGACAAGCAAGAAGATAAATTTTGTTACACTGTTTTGTGGGCTTTGCCAACTGCTGAGGTCTTGAATCTGCTTAAATAGATATGAGATTTCTGTGCGTTAGCCTAGTTTATTGTTTACCAAAATTTTATGTGTTGTAATTTATCGTTTTCATTTTTTAGGGTGATTTCTACCAATATTCACCAACGATTAAACTAAATTATAATGGATACTAGGAAAAAACACTTGGATTATCGGGGAAAAAGAGAGGGTGTTTCTATGGTGCATAATTGGTGCGTGTTATACAACAAATAGGGCTATTATATCTTGGAGCCTGGAGGGGACAAGCTAGAAGATAAATTCTATTGTACTAGTTTGTGGGCTTTGCCAATTAGAGCTCTTGAATCTCCTTAAAAAGAGCGAGATTTTTGTGCCTTAACTTGTTTGTTACCCAAAATTTATATCTATTTTTGATTTTATTTTTTTCATTTCTGGTGATTTCTAGCAATATTCACCAACACAAATTAAAACTTTGGCTAGATAACTTGAAAATATGAAAATATTAAGGGGAAACTTTATGGAAATCACAACGAATATGTGATATTTAGGCATAGGATGCACATGCAAGGGAAAAATAATTTATTTTAAGGTTTGTTGCTTACAAATTGAGTAGGGCCTTAACTTATGGAGGTTTTGCATCCAGAGACTTACTTTAAATCTGTAAGAGCTTTGACAAGAGAAGAGTCTTCGCAAAACACACTCCTCAAAAAAGGAAAATTTGGAATGCGTACACTTGATGATATGAATCATTTGAAAAATAAACATTTTCATTTTGTAGTTGATTTTTACAAGATCAAATTAGATTATTCATTTAGAAAATGTGGTTTCAAGAACTATATGTGGAGCAGTTGGGCATAAATTAATACCAACTCCGTAGAATTTGGGAACTTCAATCCAACTTCATTAACCATTACTTATGAGTCTTTTTTTTTGGCTTACGCCCATTATCTCAAGTTTTGGATTGAACCAATACATTTACACAAAATAGTTCATGGGAAAAATTGAGTTATTTTGTCTATATGGAGGATTGACAGTCTCTGCCAGTTTTCTTTGGATGAGAGATATCCATCCTAATCATTATGGATGTTATTGCCCAATTGATACATCTAAAGGAATCAATGTTGGACTTATTGGATTCCTTATCAATTCATTCGAAGATTGGTCAATGGGGCTGTCTGGAAAGCCCATTTGTTGAAACAGCTGTTTGCATTGCTGAGTTGCAAAATGTATTACTGTAAGATTTACAAGTTAAAAAATTGCATACCTCATCCTTAAGGTCATGAAACAATACATCAATGATGGTCTTTTATTGATTTCTTATGCACATTACAATTCACAGTTTCAATTTTCTAATAGACTTGGATCAAAACTTTGACAAGCACAACAATCAACTCCTAATATAAACAATTACTCAATTAATGAATAAATCAAAAGCTAAAACAAAAGAAAAAAAAAAAGAAAAAAAAAGAAAAAAAGAGTAAAAGAACTTTTAGTTTATAGTTGGTTCCTATTGTGGCAAGACACTAGGGCCATGTTTGTTTGGGTGGACTGCATTAGGCTGGATTAGCATTTCCATGACTAATAGTTTTAGGACTACGAATCCCTTTGGATTGTGTATTTTATCCTATGTTTGGATTGAGGTAGGATTATAAGGAAAGACTAATAGTCCAGACTTTGGCTTAGTCCTTCAATTTATATCCCACCCCTCTCTGTGGGATTGAATAGTCCATCATATGTGAGATTCCATTTCTGGATGGATTGTTAGTTTGTACTTTAATTGTTTAACCAAACATCGGATTAATAATTTTATTGGACTATTAGTCCAATTCCAAGCTTATGTCCACCCAAACAAACATGGCCTAGGGGAGACTATTGGTTCTATGGTAAAACCTTAGACTAATAACTGTAGAAATTTAATGTATAAAGAGAAATGATTGTATTATTGATTGATATAATGTTATATTGATTACAATGATTCATGATGCCTATATATAGAAGAGGGTGAGTGTGTAGTAGGTAAGGAGTAGGTGAAGTGGAGGTGGTAGTGGTGTAGTGGGTTAGGTTTAGTGGAGTAGGTGAGATGGTAGTGGTGTAGTGGGTTAGGTTTAGTGGAGTAGGTTTAAGTGGGTGAAGTAGGTGATAGGTTTTAACAGCCGCCCCCGCAAACTCAAGGGGGATAGGAACTCACCAACTTGAGTTTGGAGAGAGTAACAAAATAAGAAAATACATAAAAATAAAAGAGGATAGGAGACACGAGAGAGAGAGAGAGAGAGGGAGAGAGAGAGTCATGTTTTTTAAGTGGTCATGGTCGAAGATGGAAGCCGTCAATGGTTGAGATCGCATGGTCTGTTTTTTAAGTTAGTTATGTTCCTTCACTTCACAATGGATGGATTTGTATTTAGAGCACAAAACAAACATTGAATAATTTAGATTTATTTTTTATTTTCAATTTATTATTTCAACTATTATACTTCGGTTGTCAAAATAACTTTCTAAAATACCAATAAAATCCCAAACATGTCCAAAAATGTGTTCCAATCCAAACATATGATACACATTAAAAAAATTGATATGCCACGTGGCATGTTCAAACTGTGCGTGTGTCAGATGCTGCTATCATGACTAAAATGCAGTGTCCGTTCCTCGTAGACCTACCTAATTTGCGTGTTCATATTCGCTCTTTTACTCTCTTCTCTTCTTGATACTCATTTATTTTTTTAATTATTATGTTTCTTATTTTACTCTTCATACAATTTGGGGTGTCATCCCCACTTTTTGTTTGCAAGAGGCAGATTATAAGCCTTCAAATCAGTGAGCGTAATTTGAAACAAGATCTCTTTGTTGCACCCACAGATGTTTATGCCTATAGATAATGAAAAACATATTCATGGAAAGATATTTGCTTACCCATTTTTGCTTATCTAACTTTATGAATGCCTCACTGCATGATTTGTTCCGAATCAAATGTGTGACAAGTTATTTATGCCTGTTGGAATTTTTGGACATTACGACAGTGTAAGATAAATTGATAGAGAGATGTAAAAATAAATTGATAGTATTATTGATTGTTTGTATCTTAATATCCTGTCTATTACAAATGGTTCCTTATATAGATGTAGGTGTAGTGGATGGTGGTAATGGTGTAGTGGGTTAGGTTTAGTGGAGTAGGTGAGGTGGTAGTGGTGTAGTGGGTTAGGTTTAGTGGAGTAGGTTTAAGTGGGTGAAGTAGGTGATAGCAGATTATAAGCCTTCAAATCAGTGAGCATAATTTGAAACAAGATATCTTTGTTGCACCCACAGATGTTTATGCCTATAGATAATGAAAAACATATTCATGGAAAGATATTTGCTTACCCATTTTTGCGTATCTAACTTTATGAATGCCTCACTGCATGATTTGCTCCGAATCAAATGCGTGAAAAGTTATTTATGCCTGTTTGGAATTTTTTGGACATTACGACAGTTTTGCCAAATATCTATCAGTTGATTGCTTACACATCTTTTGTCTCATGCCCATAGAAACACACGATCTTTACCTCATACAAATATCATGTAATTTTCCTGTTAGGAAGTTAGATATCTCATATTGATGTTGATTTATTGTACAGATCATTGGTAGCATTTCTGCCGTGGCATCATCTCTTCATATTGGAAAGGCAGGGCCCATGGTGCATACTGGTGCATGTGTTGCAGCGTTAATGGGTCAGGGTGGGTCAAAGAAATACAGGTTGACATGGAAATGGTTACAGTTTTTTAAGAATGACCGAGACCGACGAGATCTTGTAACATGTGGATCAGCTGCTGGAATAGCTGCTGCTTTTCGTGCCCCAGTTGGTGGTGTGTTGTTCGCTCTTGAAGAAATGGCATCATGGTACAGTTAACCCATCTATTTGCATTGTTTTTCTTTTTGGTGCTATCAATTTTCTAATTCGATACCTACCCAATTTTTTTTTCTTCTAATTTGACTACTAGATTTGGTTACATTGGGGAATTTAGAGTTCATCATTCATATAAGGTTTTCATTTCTTACTTCTTATAAAGTTGCTCTTCTGTTTATGTGTGTGTGTTTTGAGATCATTGTATGTTGCTGGGTTGCTTGTTGAGGCTGTTGCAATCCGTGAATGGTATGTGCATTGGTAACTGACATATTCATATTGTTGTTTTTGTAAATAAAAAGTGCTAAAAATAGTGCATTGCTCATGATAAAATTTAGCATTGTCTAAAACATTATATTAATATTTTGTTCTTCAGGTGGAGAGGTGCCCTTTTATGGAGAGCTTTTTTCACAACAGCAGTTGTTGCAATTGTGCTTCGGGCTCTGATTGATTTTTGCTTTACTGGCAAATGTGGGCTATTCGGCACTGGGGGTCTTATAATGTTTGATGTCACTTCAGCAAATGTTACATATCACCTTGTGGATGTACCTCCTGTTTTTCTTCTTGGCGTGATAGGGGGCATATTGGGAGGTTTATACAATTTTCTTTTAGAAAAGGTTCTCCGGATTTACAGTCTAATTAATGAGTAAGCTCTCTTTTGCTTTCTTGTTGTCTTACACATTCTGTGCTTTAAACATATCAATAATAGAAAAGATCATGGTGGGCTCAATCTTCTTTGTTGACTTCCCTTCTCCAGGAAAGGCTCTGCTTACAAAATACTTCTTGCCTGTTCAATTTCGATTTTTACATCGTGTCTTTTATTTGGATTACCGTGGCTTGCATCTTGCCAGACTTGCCCAATTGATGCTACAGAAGCTTGCCCAACAATTGGTCGGTCTGGAAACTACAAGAAGTTCCAATGCCCTCCAAATCACTACAATGATCTTGCCAGCCTCATTTTCAACACAAATGATGATGCAATCAAAAACCTATTCAGCAAGAACACCGACGCTGAGTTCCACTTATCATCTATGTTCATATTCTTCGTCACCTGCTTTTTCCTCAGTATCATAAGCTATGGGATCGTGGCTCCTACTGGTCTCTTTATACCTGTTATCTTGATTGGTGCATCTTATGGACGTTTAGTTGGAATGCTAATTGGTTCACGTTCAAATCTTAACCACGGCCTTTTTGCTGTCCTGGGTTCTGCTTCACTTCTTGGTGGATCTATGAGGATGACAGTTTCCTTGTGTGTTATTATCCTAGAATTGACCAATAATCTATTACTTCTACCCCTCATAATGCTGGTTCTTCTAGTTTCAAAGACTATAGCTGATGGGTTCAATAGAAATATTTACGACCTTATAATGAAATTGAAGGGTTTTCCTTACCTAAAAGCTCATGCTGAGCCGTACATGAGACAATTGACAGTGGGTGACGTGGTCACAGGTCCACTTCAGCTCTTTAATGGCATCGAGAAGGTTAGTAACATTGTACACGTTCTCAGAACTACAAGGCACAATGGGTTTCCTGTGATAGATGAGCGTCCGCTTTCTGTATCTCCAGTTCTGTTTGGTTTGGTCCTCCGTGCCCATCTAATCACGTTACTAAAGAAAAAAGCTTTCTTGCTAACTCCAGTACCAACAGGCACTGATGACTTTAATCAATTCACAGCAGTGGATTTTGCAAAGAAGGGTTTGGGTAATGGTGACAAAATAGAAGATATAGAATTGACTGAGGAAGAGATGGAGATGTTTGTTGATTTGCATCCTTTTACTAATGCTTCCCCATATACTGTTGTGGAGACAATGTCATTGGCAAAGGCTTTCATACTTTTCCGAGAAGTTGGTTTAAGGCACCTGTTGGTTATCCCTAAATTTTCTAGTGTAAGAACTTTTCTCCTGTCTATTATTTTCTTTATTACTATGAATATGCAATTTCTACTTAAAAGATTAGCTTACGCACTTGTAGGATACACAGTAGCATTGCACTCAAGTAGTGTTTGGTTTATTGGAATGATTTTGGGCAGCAATAGAATAGCTATTCCTTGGCCTTCCAATGGAAGGACTTTTCTCCTAAATCGGTGAATGGTGATTCTTATTGAAATGTACATTCCTTTCTTTTTTATCAAACCAAACATGAGAATGGGTATTTTGACGAAATGACCATGCTATTCCAGCCTTATCAAACACTGCCTCAGTAAAAAATACATTAGCTTGGGACAATGTGATGATTTTCTACCTTTGAAGTTTCTTTACATTGTCTACCGCTCCTACCAAATCCTCCTTTTACTAAGTCCTAAAACTGTGAGCTATTTCAGATGTGCACATTTCTATGATTTATTTTTAAGGAAAATGCTATACAATAATGAAACTTTGGAGTTTGGAATTGAAAATACGACCCACTTTAATAATATGATTGGTGTACATCCGTAAGTATAATTTATAAGATTTGTTAGTTTGTAATTGTATAATATTTCTCATTTTTTAATCATCTCTATTGGCCTTAAAACTACACAATATCCCCGATATGCTTACTTTTAAAAGCATAACTTTTCTTGGCTTTTTTTTGTTGATTTTTATGAAATATTTTCCAACATTTTTTCTTAGATTTTCTGCTTTCTTTGCTTTCACAACTTTTTGTCGTATCTATTTTCCCATTATTATTTGAGATGCTGATAATATCCCATTCAAAATTTCATACTATATTTTTCTATATCAAACATACCTTCTTGTTTAATTAGGCCAAATTTGTTGGTAAGATTTACCGAGGTAACTATTTGGTTGACCTCTGACTTTCATCTCATGCATAAAATGCTATGTTTCATAATTTATCACAAAAATATCTCCTAGCACCCTTAATAATTTATTTGTTTTTATTACAATTTTATTCTTACATAAAAGTATCAAAATATCCTCAAAACCCTAAAATTTTTAAAACCCTAGTTTCTCTACCCACCCATCCCCTCCCCGTCACCATCCATCCATTGCTGCCACTTCCGCTGTTGGTGGTGCCACCCCTTCCCCGCCGCCTTCTAGATCTAAATACCCAAGATCTGGTTCACAGTGGGTATGGGGACTAGATTGTGGTGGTGGGGGGCTGTTGTGATGGTTAGGGGATGGAGAGGGGCTATCGCTTTGGAGGAAGGGGTGGTTGGGATGGTCAAAGATGGTGGGGGGCCAGATCGCGGTGGTGGGGAGGACTTGGGGCTGGTCGGAGGTGATTGGTGTGGGTGTGGAGTTAGGGTTTGAAAGATTAGATAGGCTTAAAGGGAGATGAAAGGTGAGAGGTAAAGATATTTTTGGGATTACAAAATGTGTAATGAGATAAAATGGTAATTTTGAATTTTGGGGAAGGAGGTAATTAGAAAATGTGTGCAAGGAGATGAATTTTCACTTTTATTTTTCCAAATGACAATTCTCTGTTATTTTTATTGATTAGTTATGTTTATTAGCTACAAAAACCAGTCTTTATTAGCTAATCTTGCTTACTTTGCAGAGATTGCCAGTGGTGGGTATATTGACGAGGCATGATTTCATGCCGGAACATATCTTGGGTATGCATCCTTCGTTGATAAACAGGTGGAAAAGATTAAGAATTCAGTTTCCTTGTTGGGATAAAATCTTTTAGGCCATCCATTTCAACCAAGCACTTGAAGTGGCCTTGGAATCAAGTTTGTAAATACATTCTTATGGAGCTGTACAATATTATGAAATCACATTCGGGATTGCTACTGTGCTCTTTCTCAATTTCGCATTATGAAATCCAGAGCTGGAGAGGGATCATATTTAGGAGACAACCACCTAACTTATATCCGGATGCATTTGGTAAGTCCGACTGAAATGATGATATGAGTTACTTTCTTATATGGATGACAGATTTTGCTCTAGTCTAGTTTTTGTAGTTTGTAGTACACGGTCAATAACAAATGCTCCGTTGAGAATGTTGAGCAATTTTTATGTTGCAGTATTGATAGACTAATCAATTTCTGTACGAGGACGAATCCATAAACTCGAACTGAAATGTGCAGAGATGCCAGAAAGAGGTATATGGATTAGGGTTTTACTACTACTTTATGATATGCTAGCGAGGAGGCCGCATGCTAGCTAGTGCCCTTTACATTTTTGTTTAAAGTTCCAATTTGTAAATGTATTAAAGCTGGAATAAAAAAGAGATGAGAATAAATTGTGATTATCATGTAGAAATAAATCAACTTAGAATTTGTGTTATTGTTTTAGTGGAAAATACTTTGAAGAGAATTTGTTTCTTTTCTTTTTTTCCACAAGCTAACACTAAAGTTTAAATACTTACGATAATACTTGCACAAAATAATAATAATTAATGTAGCAAGATAACCAAGGTCAATTAACACATTCTTAGAATTGTAAGGGCGACCGTTTTGGTGACAACGATATTCTAAACTTTAGCCTTGGTAATCTTGAAGCCTTCCTGATTTGCGGTTTTGATTTACTTGCTCAGCCATGAAAAAGAAAAAAGAAAATGAAAAAAAGAAAGTTAACCGTAAACTCAATTACTTACAAAAGGGAAAAACAACTCATAATGGCTACTGAAAAGAAAAACGGTAACAACATAACTAAGATTATTCCACACATTAAAACAAAAGGAAAAATAGAACTCATGAATGAAGAACTGCTAGAAAATTATTTGCACAGTTGAAGAGCAAAATAGGAATAAAATTTTGACCTCAAAGATCTTCAAAAATTTAATGATTTGTTTTATTATTTTAGAAATTCAGAAGGGATTGTTGCAACACTCCTTAATAAAAATTGACTGCATAAGGTCCAAGTAGATTGTTTTGCAAAAAATATTCAATGTCACCCATTATAATGCCACTAACTCATCACCACCATTCAGTTTTGTTGGTCTCACAAAAATCAATGGTGTTGAAGTATTTGTGGCATTGCCACGTCAGCGTCGTTGGTGACACTCAATGACTTTTCATAATTTTGGTTTTGGATATTTTTCCAAGTGAATTTATAGCCCTGTATCTCTAAATAGCATGAGTGTGTTGTGCACAAACTTAGCATGCTTCTCACCTCATGTAAAAGACATCATAGGCATATTAGGGAAGACTGCCATGAATTATTGGAGAGCTATAACTTAGGCAAGACTGCAATGAATTATTGAAGTGATGCCAAAATAAATAAATAATAATTCTGTAGACTCAATGTACTACAAAACGCTTATCACACCAAAAACAAATAAAAAAATTACACATGAGGCAATGGTTTTTTTTTTTTTTTTAATCAACACATGAGACAATGGATCACAGGCCGAACAACATCCTCTGGTCCGATCGCAGATATAGGAGGGAAGCCATTTCCCAATACTTCTGACAACATTAAAATTTTACAGACTCAATTTCAAAAGTCTTGCCAAACTAAAATTAATTACATCTTCGATTCTAATCATCCTCTCAATTTCAAAAGTCTTGCCAAACTAAAATTAATTACATCTTCGATTCTAATCATCCTTCTACGAATAATTGTGTCCACCACCAATATGAAATGGGAAATCAAACAGCATAACTCACAAAAATCCACCACCTACCCTCCTCTCTATGGCAACCCCACGCATTGCACAACTAAGGAAAGAGAAAAACTTAGCAACTCATGGCCTTCTACCCTAGCACATCAACCCATAGGTTGCAGCCCCAAGAGAAATGAAGGGAAAAAAATCAACAATAAACAACAAAAGCCAAAAGATGGTTCACAAATGGATGACAAAGAAGCCAAAAATTCATCGTGTAGATCTATAGATCCGATTATTATTTAAATATCAACACAATGTAGATATGAAAACCCCTTCTACGAATATTGAAAACCCACCGTGTAGATCTGAATACTCAGCCCATGAATAGCATATAGTTTAATAATTACACAAATGTGGAGAGATAAAGACCTTCAGGTTAGTGCTAGTCCCAGCTTCGATGCTTATGCAGCTTCGATTTGTTCCGGTGATAGATTTAAAACAAAGGAAGGCACTTACAATTACAGAAGCAATATTACCAGTAGTTAGTTTCCCAAGCAACCAGAATGTAATAAGTCAAAAAATGTGTGATAGAAAGAACATATTTTTTTAGGGCGTTCGCGCAAAAATTTCAATCTTGGATTTTCTTTACCCAAAAAGTTTAAGCCATAATTTATTATGTCCATAAGGACAAGTTTCCGTAAAATGACCAAAATATCCCTCCACCTAGGGGCGGAGGCACGTGAGGCCCAGAGGGGTCACGTGCCCCCCTCAACTTTTGGAAAATTATTTTTTTGCCCCTAATAAAAATATATATTTCAATTTAATCTAAGTAATATCTTGAAATTTTTATATCATTATTTTCTTTACTTTTTTTTTTTTTATAAAAAAATGTTTAATTTATCACTTTAAATGTTTAATTATGCTAAAAAAAATTCTTATAAATTTTATAGTAGAGAAATGTTATATATCACTGATATTTTGTCACTATTTTATATCACCTTTTATACGACACATAATTATTGCACAATTAATGACAACTAATAATATATTGCCATATAATTTAATTATTCAAAACGGTGAAAAAAACAAGTAATATATAATAGCCTTTGTATATTATTTATTCATCATTTTCTCATTTCTTTCTCTATTCTCACTATATCTCTTTATGTGTGTGCATCTTAATATAATTTTGTTTTCATATATTATGAGGGTATATGTAATTATTTTTTAAACCGTGATGATCATCATATATAAAATAAATTAATAACAATAAAGATAGTGATTAGTTAACTTGACCTTATATTTAAATATAATTTTTGCATCATATTAATTTTTAGTCCTACCATCAAATAAAAATTAAGTTAAATTATAATTTTTGTTAAGATTTTAATTCAAAGATCCCCTTCTGGCTCTGCCACTATCTCCACCCCACGCATTTTATTTCTGTTTCTATTTCAAATCTCACGCGTGTAAGATCTAAATCTCTCTCTCTCTCTCTCTCTCTCTCTCTCTTCCTTACCTTCTAACTTCGTTACTACCGTTCCCAATGACGCTGTCCTCACGATCGGAGAAGAAGGTCTTGGGGGAGTGACAGATCTGAGGTCTTGAGGAAGTGACAAAACAAACTCTCTCTTCTCTCTTCTTTCATTTTCACTCTCTTCTCCGATCAAAACCCTAGATCACCATCGTAAATAGCCATCAAACCCTAGATCTCGTCCCTATCCTCTCGAAGCAGCTCATCATCATAGATTTTTCCAACAATGAGGACAAATTTGATATATTTAGAGAGCTTACTCTATGTTCGACTTTGATGATCTGAAACTCATGAGTGGAGTGGAGAAAGTCGAAGCTTAAGTAGAGTTTCCATGGTTGTCTCTCATTTCTCTTCGATTCTAGCGCTACCTTCTGTACTCTTACGGTAGAGTTTGCTGAAAATGTCAAGTGTTGCTGCCTTGGACATGACCCTAGACAATCCCATAAAATCAAATAGTCTATCTTTTTCTATATGTATATATATATATATATATACGTATGTATCTGCTTGGGTTTGATAACAAAAAAGAGAAGATGAAAATTATTGTTTGTGTTGTATGTGTCCAACAGAGAGTAGGAATTTTTTTTAGATCTGTTGGATTTTTTTTGGATCCATTCACAGATTCAATTTTTATTTTTATTTTTTATTTTTATTTTTTATTTTGTAAACTGAACAGATAGAAGTTTGAGAAAAAAATTGAACAGATAGACTCAGAATTGTTCAATTATTAGATCTGGTGTTGATAAAGATGATGATGATGTTTTGTTTGTTTGTTTGTTTGTTTTTTCCCCCATTTATTGTATGTTGTTTGTTGGTGTTGTTGATGATGATGAAACATATTACAACAAATAAGGGAAGAGAAAAAAGGATTCCAACATGTAGTAGATTCATGAATAGATAATTTTAATAGATAGAAAAAATAAATTGAACAAATAATTTTTTTTTCAATAGGGGATATGATTTGTGTAAAATGAGAATTTGAACAAATAAGTTAAAAATGAGAATTTCAAGAGAGAGAGAGAGATGATAGATGTAAAAGCAAAATTTTAAATAGATAAGTGGAAAAAAGTGAACAGATAGTAAAAAAAAAATTGGATAGATAGATATAAATTTGTACAGATAATCAAAAAATTTGAACAGATAGATATGAATTTGAACAGAAAGTCAATGAAAAGTCAACAGATAAATTAAGGGATAAAAATGAAAATAAAATGTCCTCCAAAAGCAACAAAAAAATAAAAATAAAATAAAATAAAATAAAATTTCACAAAACTATTTTACAAAGAATGAATTTCTCATCAACAAAAAATATTGATTGAATCTAATACCTTATATCCTTTTAACCTTAGACTTTTCCATAATTTTCTATTTCTTTTTTTAGTGCTGTTCTAAAATATATTGTTGTTCTAAATATATTAAAATAAAAAATAAACAAATGGGAAGTTTGACATTGAAATATGGAAATTTAATTAGTATCAGACTCCCAATCTCCAATCTAATATCACTAGTGCAATGTGAAACAGAAAATGAAAGTCCAGATCCTATAATTTTTATAGAAAATTCATTTTATTGCAAAATATTTGTCAGAAATGGACTATATCACCAGATTTCAGAGTCACCCCTAATCTTTTGGGAAAATTAGAAAACTCGTGACTCGTGCCAAAGGCCATCGTCCTTCATAACCAAAGTGTCTCGGCTCGAGATCTTAGATATGAGAGGGGAATGTCATTAATAGGTATGAGAGGGGAACTTACCTTCCTCACTCGATCAAAAGATCGGCCTCTACTAAGTCATGATGTGGTTTTTATAATCAATATATATGTTCCGGTTATTTAATAAATCCATCATCACTATACGAGTCATGCAAGTATAGATTGTACCACTAATTTTAGTTATGCTCTGATTTCATGCATTTCTTGAAAAGCCTTTTTGTACAAACTTAAAAGCATACAAATCAATAACATTCTAATACTAGCAACACAAATCAAATCCACTAGCATTTAAATAGATATCTCAACTAAGCACTTCATGATATAGAAATAGATGTAATAAGGAACATGTACATGTAATATGGTAAAGCCAAAAATTTATCACCTATTACTCCAAGGCGAGTCCCAAGAAACGTATAGATATATATACATATTTGCATGATCCTATATACAAACAACTAATGCAATATATACACAACATGTGCCTATGAGTCCAGATGCTAAGATATGACATGGATATTATCTCAAGACATAGGGCAACGCATGTACTCATCTTGAAAAATAACAAATTTCACAAATGTAGAAGAAACTAGACCTAAATGCGTGGAAAATGGATGCAAGATACAAGTATGATAAATAAAACGTGATGTTGTGCAACATATACAAAAATCAGGTAAATAAAAGGGTTAGAAAGACGTGGAGTTGAAGTTATTACAACAATTCGAATAAAAAATGAGGGGAGAGAGATAGATTATTACAATAATGAACAAATAATAAGGGTATAACAGATATTTCGTAACAAATTAACAAATTAAGGGGATCAAAACAAGAACAAATTCAAGCCATTAAAAACAAAGGATTCATCAAAAGCCATTGAAAACTCTCATTCCATTCATGAAACAAGGATGTTTCCACCAATTTCCATGTTCACGAATGACTAAGAAGAGAGATCTCAATGCTCTTGACCCAAAATCTCTTGTTTTACTTCCAAAATGCTCAATGAAAAGGGTAAGGACACAACTCTTCAATATCAAATCCCATGGGTCACCCAAGCAATCCTATGAAACAACCCCTATTGAGTAAGAAGTTGAAACACATGGATTGATACACTTGAGAGATATGATAGGTGAAGAAGAGGAGTGTAATAACAAGAAGAGCTACTCTACTTATTGAACTTGTGAATGGATAGTTAATAACTACTCCCAAACACATCCATAAGGGTCCAAGGTACATAAAAATAATGAAATTAACCTAAAGAGAGCAAGAAGGGAAGGATAAAGCTATTAACTCAATAGATGGGTGGCTAAATCCTACTCCATCCACATCCATGAGTACTTACAACAATTACACGATTAAAATAAAGTTAGAACTGAAAAAAGAGTAGGAGGCAAGTGATTAAAGATGTAAAAATTCACCTCTTAAAGAGTAGGCGTTGAGTAGTAATTCTTGATCTTGTATTTGGAGCAAAAGTTCTTGATCAGCTTACTATTGAATTTGGTGCCGTTGTCTTCCACAATGGCTCTCGGAATTCCAAACCTTGTAATGATATTCCTCTAGATAAAGTTCTTTACATCTACATCTCAGATTTTGGTTAACGGCTCAACCTCCACCCATTTTTTGAAGTAATCAGTGGCCACCAAGAGGAATTTTGTCTGGCCAGTGGCTTTAGGCAATTGTCCAATCAAGTCCATACCCCACTAGGCAAATGGCCAAGGATTGGACACCGGGTTTAGGTCTTCAGCTAGCTGATGTATCAAATGTATGTTCCTTTGATACTTCTTGTATTTTCTTACATATACCTCTGCATCTTTCTGTATATAGGGCCACCAGTATCCTTGTGAGAAGTCTCTATGGGCTAATGATCTGCCCTTTGCATGACTGCCACAAACTCCCTTGTGGATCTCAAGCAAAAGTCTTCCACTTGTGAAAGGTGCACACATTACAACAATGGTTCTGTAAAGGATCTTCTGTAAAGATGACCTTCGGCCGACAAGCTGAATCTAGTTGACCTGAGTCTAACCTTGTGCGCCTCTTTTTTTATCTTCTGGTAGTTTGCCATCTTTTATGAACTTGACGTGGGGGTCCATCCAGCTTGGGCCTAATTCGACACACATTGCCTCATACTTTGTGATCATGGGGTCGACACTTGGGCCTGATGAGTAGTCCACCATAATAGTTCTGGGAGAGTCTGACTTTATGGCTGAAGCCAAGTTTGCTAGTGCATCTGCATGATTGTTATCTTCTTAACAAACTTGCTGAAGTAGACAACTCCTGAACTAGGTTAACAACTTGATGAGTTGCTTGACGTAAGCCATCATCCTTTCATCTCTGGTGACATACTCGTCTGTCGCTTGATTGACGATGAGTTGAGAGATGCAATAAATGACTTCCTCATCAACTTCAATTGCTACGGCCTGCTTCAAATCGACAATCAATTCCTCGTATTCTGCCTCATTGTTTGAGGCCTTGAATCCTAATCTGATCGATTGCTCCAATATTTGTCTGTTTGGTGAAATCAAAACCACTCATGCCCCCGCTTCTTACCGATTTGAACTTCCGTCAACAAAGAGGTAGAAGGAGTTGCCGATGTCGATGATGCATGGCTTTGGCTTCTTAGACTCTTTCTTCTGGGTTCCCTTACCTTTTACTGGCCTAAGGGCATATACTGTCATTTGTGTTCCTTCGGGTTCTTTTACATTCGCCAATTTGAGGTTCACAGGCTTGGGCCTCGTTATCACATTAGTGTGAACTCAACAACAAAGTCAGCCAAGACTCGTCCTTTGATTGTTGTCCTTGGTCTTTATTCAATGTCATACTGACCTAGAACGATAGACCATCACACTGTCCTCCTTGACGAGTCTCTATGCTATAAGAGGTCAATGGGTGCTTAATTAGCACTATGATCTTATGAGTCTGGAAGTAATGGTTCAATTTCTTTGCCGCCATCACCAAGGCAAGTGTGAGTTTCTCTAAAAGAAAATATATTGTCTCTGCACTTGCCAAGGTCTTACTTAAATATTAAATTGCCTTCTGCTCTCCTTCATCTTCTCGGATTAACGCTGCACTAATTGCGTGGTCTAAAACTGCCAAATACAAAAATAACTCCTTACTAAGAATTGGAGTTGATAACAAGGATATAAAGGTCAGGTACTTCTTTAGGTTGAGCAGGGTGACCTTGCAAGCCTCTGTCCATATAAAGTCCGTTGTGTTCTTTAGTAGCTGGAAGAATGGTCTACACTTATCAAAACTCTGGCTGATGAACCTGTTCAGAGCTGCTGCTTTGCTGGTCAAAACTTGTACTTCTTTTGTTGTCGTTGGGCTCTTCAGATCAAGTATGACCTTGATCTGATCAGGAATTAATTCAATTCCCCTTCTTGTCACCAAGTATCCCAGGAACTTGCCCGATCCTACTCCAAAAGCACATTTGGAGGCATTTAGCCGAAGCTGAAATGCCTTCAAGATGTTGAACACCTCTTTGAGATATGATAAAATGGTCTGATGACTCATTCCTTTTCATGCCTCTACTATCTTTCCAATAAGGTCTAAATATCTTGGTTGCTAGTCTTTGGTATGTTGCCCTTGCTTTCTTTAATCCGAAGGGCATGACTCTATAACAGTAGTCCCTTAGGAGTAATGAACGCAGTCTTCTCCTTGTCTAATCTATACATCACAATTTGATAATATCCACAGTATGCGTCAAGGAAGCTCATTCTGCCATGCCGCAAGGTGGCGTCCACTAGCTAGTCTATCTTTGGCAATGGGAAAAAGTCTTTTGGTCAAGCCTTATTCAGACTTGTAAAATCTATGCAGACCCTTCACTTCCTATTTTTCTTTTTGACCACCATTGTATTGGACGGCCATGTCGAGTAATGGACCTCTCAGATAGCTTGGGCTTCCAACAACTTCTTCACCTCTTCTTCTACTACCTTCACATGGATTAGGGTAGGTCTTCTGGCTTTCTGAATTATTGATTTTGCCATTCTATCAACATTTAGTTTATGGCAAGTGACCTCGGGGTTGACCCCCGCCATCTCGTATGGTGTCCACACGAACACCTTCATGTTCTCCCTCACGGAAGCTTCTAATTTTCTTTCCTCCTCCTCAGCTAGCCCATAGCCAATATGTAAGAATCTTTCCTCGTCTCCTTCATTTACCTTAATCTTCTTCAATGGTTCTTGACTCTTGTCGGCTGGCTCCTTGTCGACATCTTCTAAGACCTTTTGGTCTTCGTCTTCTATCTCCTCAATCTTCGCATCTTAGACATTGCTTGTGTACTTCATTGCTGCCATGGAGCAATTTTTCACCTAGACTTGGTCTCCTTTGACTTCCTCTATGCCATACTCAGTTGGGAATCGTAGCAGTTGGTGCAGAGTTGAAGGAATGGCATTCATTGCATGTAACCAATGTCTTCCCAAGATCACATTGTATGGTGACGGAGTATCTATCACCGTAAATTCCGTCGTTACTACCTTTGTCCCTTCCTGTACATTCAAACTCATTGACCCCAGTGGCCATGTTGGCATTCCATTAAATCTGACCATTGGACTGTCAAATGGCTCCAAATCATCCTTATGAAGACCGAGTTCTTTATGACACCTGACGCACATAATGTCACAAGAACTGCCTTGATCGATCAGTTTCTTCTCATCTGACATCCGTTGATCATAAGGGTCACCACGTGTACATCATTTTGTAGATACTGGATAACTTCCAAGTCCTCATCCGTAAAAGATATCATCAACCCCTGACATCCCTCTCTCTGAGGTTGCTTTTACTAGACCTAGAACACATGTTCTAAGTGTTTCAGTCTCTGGGTCTCTCCCCTAATCTCGTTTGGACACACTTTCAAATGGATCAAGTTAATGACCCGAGGTTCCTTAACCTGAAGTGCGGTGGGTGACAACGGTGGTGCTCCAAGTGGTTCTTGTGCCAACTTGGCCTGCTCCTCCCTCGTCTTCTCTTCATCAATCAAATCCCTCAGATGTCCCTGTCTCATAAGATCTTCTAAATGCTGCTTCAAAGCCTGACATCCCTGGGTTATGTACCTTGTTTTATCATGTTATGAGCATGACTTTGTGTGAAACCTTCCCATCGACTCCCCTAGGACCTTTTGTGGTAGTCTATAATAGGGTTGATTTTTGATCCTCTCTAGAATCCTATAAATTGGGATCTTGAGGACAATGCTAATAGCCTGCATTGACTTTAACCTCGACTCTCCAATAGCATTGCCAGCACCATTTCGATTTCATTTGGGCGAGTTGTTCATTTTCTTTTGCTTTGTCATACTTCTCTATTTTAATCTCTTATCCTTCTCTTGTGAGGCCCCTGAAAAGTTTAATTTCTTAAAAGTCCCTTATTTTTAAATTATATCCTTGAAGTCCCTCGGTTTCTTAATTAATTGCAACTCTAGGAACAAAATACATGCGTCAACAAAAAATCGCAAACCCTAATCGATTTCGGAAACTTAGAAATAATTTCTAATATTCTAATTGACTCCCTAAATATGAAATTACCACTTGGAAACCCTAGGCTTTTCCGGTCTTTATCACGTTCGTCGGTTGATCGCGTTTTTGTTCGAAACAAGAAATCCAAACCGAATTAGACTCTCTAACCACAATTTAATTTAATTCTACACTAAAATAAATGTTCCAATTCATAAATTAAACCCAATGCCCTCATATTTTTCTTAAATCACATTTTGACCCCAAACTAGTACCATTACGCACATATACACATATATATACTTGTACCTTTCTTAAATAAATAATTTTATACACAAATATCTTCATATCTATATATAAAATCAACAAAAATCTCCCCAAATCTAGCACATGGCCAGCCATCACCCTCTCTAGGCTACAATCATAGGTACTTTAGAGATAAATCCCTTAAATCATGGAAAAAGTATCATTGGTACCCTCAAATTAAGGAAAGTTGTCTTGTACTTGTAACTATCTTAGTTCTACTTAAGCCGAACCCTAACTAGATCATGCCTTAATGTATGATTAGACTCCCTAATGATCCTTCATTCCATTACATTCCAACTAAATACATCTCAATTCCATTCCATTCCAACCAATGGGCATTTTGGACCTTTTACACCAATTTTATTATAAAAACACCACCACCCTCCACATGTTACACATCTCATACACTCACACACCTACACATTCAGTTGAGAGAAAGAAAGAAGAGGAAGAGAGTGAACTTTGGTAGTAGAGGAGAGGAAAAGAGAAGAAATTGTGCAAACATTTCACTAGGCAATCCAATAAGCCACAACATAACTCTCTTTTATTTTCCTTTTTCAAATACATGCTCTTAGAAGTTTTAAACATTCATTTCAGACGTGTTTTGATGGTATTCTTGTGTTAAAAATGAAAGGAGTTGAGCCTTAATTTTACCCTTATTGTATTTCTCTTAATCGGTATAAGACTACATTTTTCCATATCAAACTCTCAAAATTTCCAAAGGCACACCTTCACCTTAAATTTCTGAGTTTAATACATATTATTTAACAAGTTTTCATCACAATATAAGTGGAAAATTTCCCCTAGTTGTCCTGTTTTCTCATCAAATTTCTATTTTCAAGAACTGTGCCAGAAAAATCTATTTTTCATCCAACTTTCAAAATTTATAGAAAAATGTATAAAAATCTTCTGGACCTCCAGTTTATGTCAAAATCTTCCTTAAGGAGTTATATTTCAACTAAAATTGGTTTCATTGAAAACGAGTGAGCGATTTGTGAGAAACTCCAATTTTCGTAACGGTCGACGAATCTGGACAGTGCTAGAACATTCTTAAATAACTAAAAATCTAGAAAAGCTGTCACATTTCAAAAATATGTTCTAAAAACTAGATTAAATTCTCTACGAACCATAGGAAGGCTAGGTTCGGGAAAGATCTGAAATATCCCTTTTGATTTTAATCTTTAAATGGTATTGAATCTGGAAATTTAGTTATGCATGGGTGGTTTATGCTCTTGTGTTCATGAATATGCTTATGTCTTAGTATGATATTGCATGTGTTATGGTTATGTTCCTTATCTTCTTTATTTTAATGATGCTCATGCTTATATGGATATTACTACCTTGTTAAGTTGTTCTAACTTTAATTTAAAACATTTAACTCAACGGGAAACTTAATTGGGGTGGTATTGGGTTTTTGATCACTTGGATATTGAAGAGATGATAATGTGCTATGTATGGATTGATGGGATGTGCTCCCTAATTGAAGGTCAAGTCTTGCGCAAGTGGTTATCGCGTAAACCCTAGAATGAAACGGACGTATTCAGACTCTTTGCGATGGTTTGGTTGGCGAGATAAGGTTGGGTCCGAATGGGACATTTAGGAGGATAAAACATTTTTGGAAGGATAAGGTTGGATTCTGGATGATAAAACTTTTTTCTTTTCGTTGTCCATTTTGAGGCCCTGCTGTTGGCGCTACGCGGTATATAACCACTGGGAGGCATCCGTGGTTAGTTTTGCAACAAAGCAGCAAAAGGGGGAGTTCTAAATAGTCTGGTGTCCAATTCTTGTGGTTGGGAGGAAGAAATCTCTTTGGGGGATTTCTAGAATACTAACCACTAACATTATAACCTTTGTTATCTATTTGAATGACTTGTTCCTTTCCTCTATTATTGAAATTGCTGTTGTTGACTTGAATATTACGCTTCACTACTTGCTTGCTATAAATGTGATGGTGTATTGGATTGGGAAAAAGGGACGTGGTATGTGTGCGTTTACTGGGAATTTAAAGCTCATGGCATTTCATGCCAGGTATTGAAGACTATTATACTGATCGAAGGCAAAGCTGAAGCATTTGGGGACGTACAACTACCCTAGGAGGATTAGAAACTAGTTTGTAAACGTGTTTTGAGATTGTAAGTGATAGATCCCATGTTGTATTTAAGACATGATTTTGTAATTTATATATACTAGCGTATGGCACGGTGTAAATAATATGAGAATTATAATATAATTGTAATCGTAACACTGTTTAAATTTAAGATTAAAATGCAATTATAAAAATATATTTAATAGACTATATTCTATAATTCCAAACAAATCAAATATAAAAAAAATTAAATATCAAATAGTGCACATCAGCCAGTGCTCTGTAATTAAAAGAAATTAAAATTAAAATGCACACCAGTTAGTGTTACTGCTGCCAATCAAATTATAACTACATAAGAAAAACAAACATTATATTGTTATACACCAAAAGAGTGGGTTAAAACTTTATAAAAAAAAAAAGTGGGTTGAAGCTTTCCAGAATATGTATGCTTTACAGAAGATGTGTCAATAACATGTCTTCAAACATGTGTTTGCCCAAACTTCCTCCTCATTACTTTCGAAAAAGTCTTTGTATCAACTTGTATGTATCCCCAATGAGGAACATGCACAACAAGTTGGTAATTTGTGGAAACAAAAAAAAAATATATAGATTGGTATATTTGTTGGAAATATACATATCAAAATACTTTGAGATTGAAATTACCTTATTACATCCCCATCGAAGCAAGCTAGTTGTATTTCTCCTTTTAAGCTCCATAAATTTTTCGATCCAATCCTAAAAAAATCCATATTTCCAATTATTATTAGATTAAAATTTTATTAAAAAAAAAATATATATAATCAATAGAAATAAACCTACATGGTTAACTTTTGATAAAACATGATTCAATGAACATGGAACACTACAACAACACTTCAGGATAAACAATATTTGTAGTAGAATCCAAACTATCTTTAGGGAGGAGAATACTTATACGATCAAAGGATGTACATCTGGACAATGCCACATATAATTGGACATGGCTAAACACTGGTATGCGCAAATCAACTCCAACAAATTTCACAGATTGTCCTTGAGATTTATTAATGGTCAAGGCATATGCTAATCGGACTGGAAATTGACGTCTTGTCATTTGGAAAGGCATTTCTGAAGAAGATGGTGTCAAAGATATCCTTGGTATGAATGCCAAATTGCCAAACTTTTCTCCAGTTAAAATTTGAGCTTCAATTATGCGAGTGCCGCACCTAGTAACCATCAATCTTGTACCATTACACA